AGCCATGCTGGCTGGGGAATTCTGGGAGTTGAGGTCCACTCATCTTAAAGTGGCCAAGTTTGGACAACACTGGTCAATGTATTTCTAAGGCCAGGGATCAGACTGGATGGGTCATATAAAGGGGATGAACTGGGATGCTGGTAGGGAATTTTTGATCTGTGAGGTCTCACTGTGGTCCAAAAAGCTAAATGAGTGGAGTGGTTTCTGCTGAATTGGGTCCTCTAGTTATTTTATGTCAAAAAGATTGTAGGTATTGAATCATCATTTTAGTATTAGGCTTTAAATTCCAGAATGCTTGGAATGTTTGTATGTCAGTATGCTGTGGAATGGGCAAATAAACCTGGAAAACCTTGCCTCCACCGTGCAAGAAGGGTTGAGAGGCATTTTTATTTAGGAACAAGCAAATTTCCTTGAATTTATAGATCTACAGAGGAAAGACAGATCGAGGGAAATCTGATGGAGCCAATCAAAAGTAGGATTTCAGAAAGGATACAGCATTTAGAATAATGAGCATGAAGTAAACTCTATGATGTGCTTTAACATTGTAGAGATGAGTGGCCACCAAGGAGTATTTTGCCTCCAAAGCATCTTAGTATCTACTGGCATTTCCTTAAGGACAGTTGGGGGACCCAGGTTGATGGCCCAGCTGAGAGTGATAAGCACTAAGATTGTAACAAGCTTTGCTGAAAGATTCATTCAAAGGTGATTTGTTCAAATCCACCTCTAAATTGAAGTTTCAGTATAAAAGCAATTGAATCAAGCCACTTCTACATTGGAAACTTCCAATCAAAAAACCAATTTGGTTTGATGTCTGGGATCCAGTTCAGTGTTTCTGAATGGATTTGGCAATTGGAAGGACTTTTGAAGGACTTTTCTGGAGGCTTGTTATGGAATCAAATTGAAGATTCAGACAGTCAAGAATTTGAATTGGCTGAATTCATCAAATGGATGATTTTGAACCTCAGGTAATTTTCACACCCTGGATAAGCAGATGATTATCAGACACATTGAGATCTCAGATGCAGAAGGAGGTGTCATCGGTGATAGGACTGGCAGGGTCTGGAATAGATATGGGCAAATTACTTGGATCCTTGGTCTCCAGGGTATCAACAATACAGTTGATATGTATTTCAAGAGAAGGAGTCCTTTCCACTGGAGACATCACCTCTCTCAGGTCATCCATGTATATGTCTACTAGCTCAGAATTCTTGCTCAGGTATCCTCTTGGTTGGGAAGTGAACATTCAAAAGATTAGCTGCAGATTTCTAGCAGGTTGCATCTATTTTAAATAGATTGTGAAGTGTGATTACATGTTGAACATCTGAATAAAGCTCATGTATCAGGGGCAAGGGATGTATTTATGATGAAAGTTTGCGTTTAAAAAAAAAATGCGAATAATCAATATAAAAGTTTGCCATTCTTACACACTTGGGTAAAAATACAGATCTGCCAAGGAATTTAAAGAAAGGATAATAAAACTAGCCATAGAATACCAACCCAAGATTCAATTGCTTTCTAATGCAGATAAAGGATAATAAGAGGGGTCTCTGATGAAAGTTTATATAAGATAAAAGAAATGTGTTTAAAATTATGTTAAAAAGTCAATTTGTAGCACTTTTCCTCTTGTTCGAAAAAAGAAATTCATTTTTTCAAACAATTCCTTGTTTCAAAGAGGTTCCTCCAACCATTTTCATCAGAGGGAGAAATAGGCGGTGCCGTATTGGTAGGAAATAATTAAATAAAAATGAGTAAAGTTATTATGTATTTGGTCAATAAATGTGATCTATTAGCAAGTACTTGGCACAGGTTAGATTATTAATAAAAGTATGGATTCTATTGACTAACTGCCACCAAGAATAAATATCAACCGTGAATCACCTTTTATTTGCTGTATTTTCAAGGTTGTTACACTTCAGTTTCTCCTCCGAATTTCTAGTCTGTTCACCTGGGCTTTTTTTAAAATTGGTGGATATAGTTGAATATCGGCTATCAGTTGGGATGATCATTCTTCTGTTTTTGCTAAGCAAAGAAACATTTCCTTTCTTGGAATAGTTTCTTGCAAGCATAGTTATAAGTGGACCATAGCAATCTTTACATGCATTTAGTTCTCTGGGCAAGCTGTATTTTGCTGTGGAGGCTTATGATTAGGAGAAATATGGCAAGATGTTATGGAAGATAGGCTCACCAAGGGCTTGCATTTATAAAATGCTAAGCTATGTTGATCAGTTTTTATAGCTTAATGAACAATGATCTGAATGAGCAGTTCACACAAGCAGGCAAACTGTCTAAGAAAGCTTATTCTTCTCTCATTCAAGCCCAAAGTTATGGCTGAGTATAACCAAACTAACTGGGATTTTTAAGCCAACATAAAGCTCAGGGTTTTATGGCCAACTAATCATCCTGGCTTTTTTGAGTTGTTTAAACCAAAATCACAGATTTATATGTCATGAATTGTGGCCCATGTGAACTAGCACATTGCCTGTTGACAACCTGAAACCCATACATCGGTTCCATATGCAAACCCTTTTTAAAAAGCCTGAACAGAAAGCAAGTGTCAGGAATCAGC